TAGTAGTAGTAGTAGTAGTAGTAGTAATAGTAGTAACAGTAGTAGCAGTAGTAGTAGTAGTAGTAGTAGTAGTAGTAGTAGTAGTAGTAGTAGTAGTAGTAGTAGTAGTAGTAGAACTAGTAGTAGTAGTAGTAGTAGTAGTAGTAGTAGTAGTACTAGTAGTAGTAGTAGTAGTAGTAGTAGTAGTAGTAGTAGTAGTAGTAGTAGTAGTAGTAGTAGCAGTCGTCGTCGTCGTCGTGGTAGTAGTAGTAGTCGTAGTAGTAGTAGTAGCAGTCGTAGTCGTAGTCGTAGTCGTAGTCGTAGTCGTAGACGGTGAAGGTGCTGATGGTGGTGGTAAGATACAGTCGCAGCTGATTATGTATGGCTGTCGACATCACCGAGGACGGGATGAAGAGGGCGACGCGTTTTAGCCCGCCTTAATCTGTCGGAAGCCTACACAGGCGTTGACGAGAAATTCAGTAGACACGACTGGGGAAATCAATTATTCGGTCTCTTCAGGCCCTTCGGAAGGTCCGTTTAGAGTCCTTTGGAGTAGTATTGGGTGCCCCGGGGTTCGTCTGGAGTCTACCTGTGGCCCTCTTGGGGCGTTTTGCGCTATGTGGGGAAACTTCACGGCATCTTGAGACTCTGTTTGGTCATTGTGAAGACCATGTATGACCTTGGGCAATCTTGGATGCCATCTTGGGCCACCCTGGCGATCTTGGACACGAGTTCCCTTTATTCTCTTGCACAGGGTGTATTCAGCTGCGACCACTTTATTTCGGCACGGCACCGCCCCCCCATCCCGCGCGCCATCTCCGCATCACCCCGCCCACTCCGCCCACCAGCCAGCGCGCCCCCTCCGCCCCGACTTTTTTTATTTCGGCACGGTACCGCCGCCCCCCCCCCCTCCCACATCCCGCACGCCCCCTCCGCATTACCCCGCCCACCAGCCAGCGCGCCCCCTCCGCCCCGAGTTTTTTTTATTTCGGCACGGCACCGCCCTCCCACATCCCGCACGCCCCCTCCGCATCACTCCACTCACCAGATGGCGGTAGGGGGGGACCATCAGTCATCTCCTATTTCACTCCCGGCATGCGAGGGTCGGCGGATCTCCATGCCCTCTTTCTCACTGCTTGTCTGCATCTCCCTCTCTCTCTCTCTCTCTTTTGTTATTTCTTTTCTTTCTTTATATTTTTTTGTAGTCGCTCTCTCTCTCTCTCTCTCTCTCTCTCTCTCTCTCTCTCTCTTTATACATATATATATATATATCTATGTTCCGCTCTATCTCTATACATGTATACCTGGATACATTGGTTGCATAGCTGTTCGCTTCGCTCGAGTGGGGCGATGGGCGTGTGGTGCCGTCCACCCATCCGCACAGAGTGCGGATGTCCCATGTGCCGATTGACTTGGGCACGGAGTGACCACCAGTCTGGTTGGCTGTCCACTTCGGGGTGGGCCCATGCCTATTTCTGTCCATGCGTGGCTCCTTTTGCTCATGGGTGTGCGGGTTCATGGCGGCCATCATTTGTTTCTTGACTTCAGTGTCGCGCGCCGGCGGGGGTTGACGCATCCATCCGTGACGTCTGCTGCGATGGACACCACGATGTATGTACTTCCTCTTCCATTCGTCCACCCACCCAGACCTCGGATTTGGCTAGGACAGTCAGAGTCGCCAGCTCGGCATGCATCTGCTGGTGGACAAGTCCGTTGGGTCAGGGGCTGGCTCCTGCTATCTGCCGCCTCGTGTAGGCTCGACCTTGCCAGGGGTGTGCTCCGCCCTCGTGGCGTGAGTCGCGCTGCTCTCTTTGGACGTCGTCCCACCGCTCCATTTTGACTTCTGCTTGGGCCTGGGCCAGGTGTCCGGGGACCTCTCCAGCGCCACGCGGTTTGAGCTGGAGGCCGCGTCCATCGTCGACGGGCTCCTGTACTTTGATGCCGTGGCCCACCTGCCAGGATGCGTGCTTATCTTTCGCTGATGCTCGTGGGGGGGAGAAGATGCTGCTGAGAGTGGGAGCCTGGTGCTAAGCGTGTGGAGCACGCAGAAGCGGACGTGTGCGGGTAGTGGCGGGTAATCCGGCAGAGGAGGGCAAGGGCGACAATGAGAATTTTGGCAGCGGGGGATTGACGGAGGATGGGGATGAGAAGACGTAGGAGAAGGAAGACGAGGAATAGAGAGCAGAGGTAAGGCTAATATGACGAATCTTCTAGTGGCCTTCGGCCCATCCCGCCACCGTGCCTGGGTCGTGGGCGAATGGTTGGATGCCTGCCGGGGTCTCCTCGGATTGGCCTCGAGGGCCTCTTGAGATGCCTCCCTCTTGGATTCTTCTTGGGAGCCTCTAGGGGGCCTCGTGGGGCTTGTTGGGGGCCTCTGGGCGGCCTGTTGGGGTCATCTCGGAGGTCTTTGTTGGGTTTTTTCGGGGCTCTTGGGCGGCCATATGGGGTCTCTCGGGTGCTTCTCGGGCGTCTCGGGGGCCATCTTGGCCCCAGAGGGCTTCGAAGGCCGGTTCGAGCTCCCTCTCATGATTACCAGCCTGAAACATACCTCTATCCTTATGTTTGACATCACCTCACCTCGATGCCGATCTCAATGATTCCCTCAGTTTTTGAGGGCCTATCCCTAAGATTGTTCTCGCTTTTTGCTCGCCCATCTTAGGGATAGGGATACGTTCGAGGCTGGTTACGTGAGCCCCTTTCTCTTGGGAATTTCTATTGGCGCCCTGCCTGTCTGCTTCCTTTTTTCTCCTTCCGCTTACCTCAAGGGGCGAGAGGCCACCCGGACGCTCCTTGCCTCTTTTCGTGCATCGGCGCTCCGCTCGGTGCCTCGCGGCACGGTGGCGGATGTGCGGAACGGGGGGAGGAGGAGGAGGGGGAGGAGGAGGAGGAGGAGGAGGAGGAGGAGGGGGGGCAGGAGGAGGAGGAGGAGGAGGAGGAGAAGGGGGAGACTTGGAGAGGATGAGAACCGTGGTGAAGAGAATGATGATGCTGCTGCTGATGTTGAGCGCCTTATGTTTATGGTGATGTTCATGATGATGCTTCTGGCCGTGACGCTGATGATGATAGTGAGGGTGGTGCTGGTGGTGGTGGTGATGATGCTGCTGCTCATGACGACGCTGACGATGACGACGATGCTGCTGCTGATGCTGATGATAATGACGATGTTCTTGAAGACGATGATGCTGATGACGATGACGATGACGATGACGAGGATGAGGATGATGATGATGATGATGATGATGATGATGATGATGATGATGATGATGATGATGATGATGATGGTGATGATGATGATGATGATGATGATGATGATGATGCTGATGATGATGATGATGCTGATGATGATGATGATGATGATGCTGATGATGATGATGATGATGATGATGGCGAGGCTGAATCCGATGACGATGACGACGACGATGACAGTACCGATGTTGACGATGCTGCTGACGATGCTGACGACGACGGCGGGCGGCGACGATGACTATGATGGCGATTGTGATACTACTGCTTATTATGAGGGTGATGATGACGACGATGAGGATGATGACGAGGTGATGACGAGGACGAGGACGAGGACGAGGATGAGGACGAGGACGAGGACCAGGATGATGAGGATGCGGACGAGGATGGGGATGGGGATGATGCTGATGATGATGATGATGATGATGATGATGATGATGATGATGATGATGGTGATTCTGATGACGATGATGATGATGATGATGCTGATGATGATGATGATGATGATGGTGGTGGTAGTGATGATGATGATGATGATGCTGATGATGATGATGATGGTGATGATGGTGGTAGTGATGATGATGCGGTGCTGATGTTGCTGATGCTGATGACGATGATGATGCTGCTGCTGATGATGAAGAGGATGCTCGTGCTGCTGCTGATTCCGCTGCTGTTTATGAGGATGCTGCTGAAACTGATGATGCTGCTGTTGTTGATGATGCTGATGCTGATGCTGATGCCGATTCCGCTGCTGCTGATGATGATCATGCTGATGCTGCTGATGATGCTGATGCTGATGCTGATGATGCTGATGCTGATGATGTTGGTGACGATGCTGATGACGATGACGATGCTGATGATGCTGCTGCTGATGATTATGCTGCTGGTGATGCTGATGCTGATGATGATACTGATGATGCTGCTGATGATGATGATGATGATGATGATGATGCGGTTGATGATCAGGATGCTGATGCTGCTGATGACGATGATGATGCTGATGATGATGCTGACGATGCAGATGATGGTGATGATGATGATGCTGCTGCTGCTGCTGCTGATGATGATGATGATGATGATGATGATGCTGATGATGAGATGAGGGTGGTGGTGATGATGATGCTAATGATGAGGGTGAAGAGGAGGGGAGGAGGATGAGGAGGAGGAGGAGGAGGAGGCGGAGGATGAGGAGGAGGAGGAGGAGGAGGAGGAGGAGGAGGAGGAATCATCGCCTCCCGTTCCCGTTGATCGCTCCTGTTCCACTTCATCGTCTGTTGCATTTTCCCTTCCCCTTCCCCCTCCCTCCCCCGCCGCGTCCCCCCCTTGTTCTTCCCCGTTCTCCCCTCCCTGTTCCCCGCCTCTTTCCGTTTTCCTTCTCATTTTTTTGTCCTTTCTTTCTTATTGTCTCGATTCCCTTTCCCTGCTTCCCCGTTCGGCTTTCCCTTCTCCTCCGCCTTTTCCTAATTCCCCCCCTCCCTCCCTCCATTTCTCCTCTTTTCCTTCCCCTTCCTCCCTGAAGGTAGGTGCTTGTCGGGTTCCGTAACTTGCCCTTCCCTCGACGGGAAGCGCGGGGATCTGAGCAAGTGCACGGGATGGGTGGGGTGTGTGTGGGGGGCGCCTCCATCCTCCGCGTCTCCTTTTGCTCCTTCGCGGTATGTTATATGCAACCTTCGTGGCGAAACACATCAAGCTCATTTCTAAACGCTTCGCGGAGTTCCATTAGTTCATCCAGAAACGATGCCCAGACGAGCTGCCCTGATCAGGGATGTGGATGGGCA